TAATGGACTAATTAATTTTTCTGTTAACTTCATAAGCATACCTTAAATGACAGTTCAATTTAACACTCTACAAATAAGTGTCTTTTAAAAAATTTTTTTTTTAAAAATAGAATGGAAGAAAGATGTATTTTTTTGTTCTTAATGATAGACTTCCTGGAGAGAAGAGTTATGGTGTAGGATTATCCCATCAAGAATGGTCTTCTCACGTTGTTCTAGGGAGCTTTGATGAGACCTTGTAAATAAATGTGGAATGAGGGAAGTTCTTACCAATCTTGTATGATTCTTCTCTATTAGAAATGTTTTCAGTTGTTGAAACTTACAGCTAACGTTAGGTCTCCGTTGCTGTTACCCACAATTAAAATTATCTCATAATTGAAAAATAACTTCTATGTGCCTGACCTGTTCTCTTTGTGACAGTATTCAGCAACTGCTGATTACTCTGTGGGAGAGTTCAGGGTTATGACTTGGCTATTCTGCGGGCAATATTAATGTGGGTGGAAATTACTTAGATGGATTCATCTGTTCTAGGTAAATAGTATTAGATTTTTGTTACTGCGTTAGAAAAGGGTGTGCTACAGAGAACAAGTTGGTCAGTCAGTTGTTCACTGACAGAATTCTTGGAAGCGGTGGGCTCTGGCCTTTCTTGTTTTTAAAGGAATAGTTCATCTTCAAGGTGAAAAGTAGGTAATTTATTTATTTCCTAGGTAATTCTGGATAAAGTAGAGCAAATATTAAATAACTTTAACATCACTGTAGTGATTTGAGTTTGTGAAACTCCTGTTATGAGCTAGGTTTGCCAATCAAACTTTTCAGCTGAACACTGGCATAACCGGTTCCTTGATGGAGATCTGAGCTGTACAAAGATCTCTGAAAATTCAGTGCTCAAAAGAGGTTTTAAATTGCCTAAAAGGTGATCTCTAGGTGCACAATAAGAGTGTTGAGTCGCCTTTGTATTATGGTATGGTCATGAGTATGTGAGATGAAAAAATCAATACACAAAATCAAATATTAACTTTAAGATGTGATCAACAATGCAAGACTTTTTATTCCATTACATTAGCCTACCACAAATTGCTATTTTATTTGCAGTGTTACTGATTGCTTAACAGATTTTATTTATTTAATTTTTCTAGTAACTGTTAGTTTTGTAGTGAAACCTTCCTACGTATTTTACTGCCTTTTTGGTTACACAAGCCAGAATTTATTGATTCATAAATAACTGTTTAACTCTAGTAGAATTAATGCAGTATTTGCACATTGATTATAATGTATTGCTGTAAAAATTAATACACAGTGCATTATAATGTATTGATTGAAAAAATCAATACATAACTTTTCTGTGTTCTAGGTATCAGTTTGAAATTGGTTGCTGCAAGACCTATTGTAGTCACATAAAATCTCAAGAGATAGGAAGGATTATTTGCATTTTCAACTCAGTATTGGAGCATGATTCTGGATTTAAGTTTTCTGTGAATCATATATGCCCGTTTGTGTCTTTTCAAAGCTCACTCTGGAAAATAACAGGGAAAAAAACCCCAAACAAAACAATCCACTGCCATTCTACTTGCTCAAGGGAAGGTTGACTTCAGACCCTTTTTGAAAGTCCCTGCACAATGGTGCCAGTGTTTTAAGATAACCCTTTTATCTGCAGTTGTTTTGGAGCTTCTGTTCATGAAAGGGCAGAGAAATGGGCATTATATAAGTCAGTATTGACAGTGGGTCAACAGCAGATGCTTAGACAAGAATAAGTAAGAAGTGCTGCTGGATTATCACTGTGTGCTTGCTTACCATTCTATCTTTGAGTGATTTCATGGTCTAGGAGGTCCTGAGGTAGAAATTGCATCTTCAATATGGAGTTTGTCATGGATTTTCTTCTCATAGTTTGCCCAGCTGCATGGACTTTAAACTCAATTATACATTTTATGAGGAAATAACTTTTTTTTTTCTTTTGCTTTTAAGCTGCTCTTTCTGAATGTCTCCTACTCTTAGGACAGGCAGTTGCTCCATATTTACATTTTGTCAGCTGTGATCTTGTGGAAGTCTGTCCTCTCCTGCTTTCACCTATATTCTTCTTTCTTCTGTTTAAGAGTTCCTTATACAAAAGTTGTGCTGTATCTGTCCCACATAGCCATTTTCTGTATCTCTATTGGTAAATGAAGACAAACCAGAAGTGCACACAGAATTGACTTGATATAGGACGTGTGATGAAATTACTTTGTGATGAATTTTTCAATTTTGTTCTGCATCTCTCTCCTATGTCATTCTACTCTATATCCTATACCATTCATATAATTCAGTTTTATTTTCTTGTCAGCCCAGAGCCAAGAAGCTTTTACTATCATAGGCAGCTCTGTTGTAACCCAAAGATCATGTCCCAGCGTGCTGTCTTGTCAGCTTTGGGTCTGTTGCTGTATATCTAAATTTAAGATCTTTTATCTGTGGATGCTTTTGACCCTTGTCTGACTTTGAGGGAGAGGTGCAAATCTATGCCTTGTTCAGAAGGAAGTAAGAGCTGCTATGAGAGCAGGATTCGTGTTACAGAGGCATCACTACTTTGCTGTAAGTAAGGACTGGCTAGTTAAGAACATCTGTTTTTTGCATATTTCTTCTTTCGCATCTGTCTTATTTCTTAACGTTTAAGGAAAAAGGGTATTTGGCAATAGAATAATCACTTAAGAATTGACCAGATGAAGTAGTGAACAGTATTAAACTTTGGATTCTGTATTTGTGGTATTTTCCTTCAGTAAGTCTTCATTCATTTACTTTTTACTTTCTGATTAGCCATGTATTCTTCAAACAAATCTTTAGCAAGTGCAGATCATTCAAGCATTTCACAGCTTATCTGGAGCATACAATAAGATTCAGAGTGTTGTGTCAAAGAAACTATGACACTATCTAACTTGCACCAGAATTAATTGGCTATGGAGAATTACTTTGAACTTGGCTAGTGCTTTCTGGCTTGGTGCTGTATAGATTCTGCACTTCGATGACACAAGAAATACAAATTAATACAGATTCCTCAGAGTTGTACTTTTTTTGCATCCTTTGCTGGTAGGCCAGTGTCTATGCTATTTTCTGCTCTCTTTTCTCAGTACAGTATGTTCTGTTCTGCATGATTGTTTGTATGTAAGACTCTCCTGAAAGCTCTGGAAAAGTGGCCCACAGGTTTTAGCAGAAACTGCTGTGGGGGCCTGCCTGTGACATGGGTGTTTTCTCTGCTCTGGTGGTCAGCTTGCTGGTGCCTTTTCGTATAAAGCATATCTCTCTGAACTTGGATCATTTGGGAAATAATGAGGGATGCTATTGAGTATTATACCTTTTTTTTTTTTTTTTTTGTCCATTGCAATAAGTTTTGTGTATATGCTTGTTGAATAGCAGGCAGAGTACGTGATTTCTTGCATAGCTTCCCTGTTTTGATAAAACTAAATTGTAGCCACTCCCTTCCATCTCAACTGCCATCTCACACAAGGGAATATAAACACATAATTTTAAACTTGACTCATTTTGATTGTACAAGTGTGCTGGATGATTATTTTTTAAGAGAAAATTGCTATGACATCCCTAAATCAAACTTAAATAGGGAGTAACCTGGATGATTGGTTTTAATCTTCTAAGTAATATGTCTATACTTGTCCATCATAGCCAGTCTTTCTGTAAGTGGAGGACAGATAAGGTGAGGTTTGTTACTGCTTTGCATAGGAGGGAAAAAATAAAAAGGTCGTCACTGGAAGAAATTCATTAGTTACTGCTAATTAAAACAAAGCACATCAAAGAAACTACCATAAGTGGGTTAGAAACAGAAATCTCTTAATGGTATGAGGACAGGTCCTACCGTAAGCTACTTTCAGGCTTTAACAGACATTGATTGTTAGTTTATGGCTGATATACTTTCAAAGTATTACCTTCTAATATAAAGGTGCTACAAAAACTGGTTCCGGAACCGTGTTGTGAAAAGTGCGTTGGTTGTCTAAATCAAAGCTTAAAGTACAGTTGTACTCTTGAAGACTTATTTTCAGCTGTATTAGCTTGTAGGTACAAAATTGATACATAATTTTTATTCTACAGATTGACATATATTCTAGATGTGTGCACACATTTGTGATTAAGAAACACAAAACAGATTAGTGAATATCATACACGTTCACTAGTATTTTTCTTTCTTAGAGCAGAAACACGCTTTTAGTAAGGTACACCAAGGGTTTGCATGCTGTAGAAAGCACAATAGGAATTGTGGCTAGCCACTACTGGCATTTATCTTGTTTTTGTTTAGCAGTACATTATGTAAAGCAGGCTAGAAGTGGATACTTAGCAGCAAAAGAAGGAAAATCATCATGTTTAATTACTTTGAAGTGCCAGAACTTAACGTGCAAGACTTCTTTTCAGCATGTGAACGAGCATGGAAATAAATCTGTCCCTAGAGATCTGCAGATGAATTTGTCTGTGATTTCCTGGTCATAGTTTGATTCTTCAGTATTGTCCCCTAGAAGCTATTTCACTGGGACTGGCTTGATTAGACAGAAATCAATGAAGGCTTGAATTTCTTTTCCAGTGTATCCAAAGAAATCTGTATTCTGGGTTAAACTTTATTTTTGTGACTTTTTCATGTAATATCATCCACAGTATTTGCCATGGGCACGAATGCCAGTAAAAAACCTTTCAGTCGTTTATTTCTAAAATGTTTGTCATGTTAATGCTCATGCACAGAAACCTGAAAGCAAAACTTCCCAGGGACTTTAATTTCAGAGAACAAGCTGAACAAAAATCTGTGTACTGATAATATTTCTAGTTTCCCAAGTACCCGATAGCCCCTTCCTGCTCCAAAACTTGGAATTTTGTGTTTGACTAGAGAAAGAGGACTTTGTTTTTTGTTATGAGCAGGTAAACTAATCTCTTGGTGCATTCTGTAAGTTTTTAACTGGAAGATGGGGATTTTGCCATGGAGATAATGAGAGACTTTGTATCTGATGTGCATTTTTTTTGTTTTGTTTTGTTTTGTTTAGTGGGGGACTTTGATAAGATCTGGCGTGAACACTGTGAGGATGAGGAAACTCTGTGTGAATATGCTGTGGCAATGAAAAACCTTGCAGATAATCACTGGGCAAAAACTTGTGAAGGGGAAGGCCGAATTGAATGGTGTTGCAGGTAAATCTTAATGTATTTGAAACACACAATTGCACTCTTCTACTTGCAATTATTTATAATACAAAACTTAAGTGTTTTTTACTTTTTTGCCAGTATTTTAGATTTGTTCTGTAACATGTTAATTATTTATTTCTTCCTAAAACCAATACCTTTTTGGTGTTCCAACTTGCTAAGGAAATAGCTTATGAAGTGTTTTGTTATGAGGTGATCTTTTTTGCAGTATTTTCAACAAACAGGTTTTTTTTCCTGACATACTGAAGCTGTTTGCAAGTAATCCTGTGAAGTAATTTTCCATGCTTTTCAACCTAAACTGAGTAAATGCAGTGAGTGTAGCTCAAGTTTAATTTTCAGGGTTTTGGTTTGATTTGTGCATATAATAGTGCTTGATCTCTAGATGCAGATTTCTGGTACTTAGTTTTTGATTCTTAATCTCCTGCAACAGACTTTAACCACTGTGAAACTTGTTTCAAATGTATTTTAAACTTCAAAATTCCTATTAGTCATAAGCATCTAATTTTTGTTGGGCTATCTGAATTGTTAAGTAATGAAATGAGAAGCTAAACTATTTCAATCTTTGAGGAAAATAAATTCTTAAAAGAGGAGAAATGTTAGTAATTCAGAATTGCTGGCATCCAAGACATACTATAGAATCTGTACAGCAGAATAAAACAAAATGCAGTTGAAATTTTAATGAGAAGAGAGTTTATCAATGGTCCTGCCTTTGCAAATGACTTCAGAAAAGCGAAAAGTAATCTTGTGTGCCAGTCTGTAGGTCCTGCAGGTGAATGTTTAAAAATGCTGAGCAAAAGGCAGCAAAGAATAGCAGATGTGATATCATTAAATTTAAATTCCCTTGAGCCCATAAAACAGAAAGGAGAGGCGATTGACTGTGAAACAGTTGGTCTAGAGTACACTTTGGTGGCAACTTGAGCTGTTCTGTGGCTTCTGGAACTGGAGCAAGTAATAACAAGCTAGAGGTTTTTTTCCTACCGTAGACTCTTACATATTTGAAAACCTTTCCTGTACTTACCAATCTTTCATCCTTTAGCGTGGATAATAACCCACCGTAGACAAGTGTTTCTTTTTAGACCCCCTTCTGGACATGCTTTATGTATCTTTATCCCAGTAACAAGAGAGGTGATTCAGTTATAAAGAACTATGCCTAAAAATGGACAGAGCATTTCAATGGTCTTCTCAGGGATAAATAAAATAAACAGATTTTATTGATGATGTAATAAACTCTTGTTTATGCTGTTGATTCTGTTTGGTGGGATTTTGGTATTTTTGTTGGTGGTGGTTTGCTTGTTTTGTTTGGGCTTTTTTTAGTTGGCAGGGCATTGATCTATGATCACTTGTGATCCTCAACTGCCTGTTTCTGTTGCAGGCTTCCTCAGTTGCTAGTTGTTTTTTTGTATTGGTGCTATTCATTACTTCTGTGGAAATGCTGATACTTCTATTTCTCTTTTTTACATTACACTTTCTTGAATCATACTGAATTCTAGTACTGTAATTTCTTGCAGTGTCTTCCCCACACCCTGCCCTGGTTTAGCATCATTCTCAGATCCCTTAAGGAACTGGAACT